TTTGTAATCCGTGTCCATTTTCAGTTTGTGTTCTATAATGTCAGCGAGGGTTGCTTCTTGCATTACTCAGCATTTTTACAACCCATCTACACCAAAGTTGCCTAAAATAAGTTCAGCACACTCCAATGATTAAGCCCAACTTCCATTTTCTAGCTGTTTCCTTTAAAGATCATGCCAGAGGAAAATATAGCACTTCCTTTGCGCATTCAATTAATTGCACCCATTGTTTTTCTTCTCCAAGCAGGAACCAGTCTATCGTATAGCAGCAACCCTCTCATTTCCCAATCAGGCTTGAAAAGGAATTTATAGCTAAAAATAAACCAGGTTTAATTGCTTTTAGGACTCCAACTTTGATGCAAATCCGTCTTTTAAAATCGCAAATGGGTGGGGGGGGTTGTTAAAGAGAACTTTGGTTACATTAGAGCTAGTAAAGTAAGCCGTAAAAGCTTTTTTTCTTCTTACGGCTTGGTGAGTTGTGGAGACAGTGGAAGACAGATGGCGAGAAGGAGGAAGGGAACAAAGTTCTATTTTGTATCCTTGGACACCACCTCTTGCACCCAAGCATCAGAGATCCAAGACTTCCAGGTGTCCGCAAAGACCAGTGAACACTCCCCCACCCTGGAAACAAGAAGTGGGGGTGCATCTTCATGCAGTAGAGGACTTTCCCACCAGCTTGGCCCCTTTCGGGATTCTTGGACAGGGGTAGGCCTGGGGGTACATAAAAGAGCGCTTTGAAGAAAAAAAGATGACGCAGCCTTACAAGGCTGAACCTTACTTTTCTAAGCAGTGGTAGGTGGGTGTTCTGACCCCCAGTATCTTTCTCAATTTCAGTAGCGCTCCAAAAGGGTAGTCGTCTACAGGGATGAGAAGGAGCCTCAAAGATACTTGCTCCCCAGTCCCAACAATTCAACCAAAGTGTTCAGAGCATCTGCACCAACATGTGACAGATGCATAATAGCAAGTGACTGGCATCCAGCACTTTGGGATCCATCAAATCGGCACAATACACTAACTAGTGATTAACACCTGCATCATAAAAATCCCATCTATAGGAATTTGACTAGTCAGAGGGTCTGGGTCAAGAGCACAAAAACCAGAACGAGCTGCATAGCAGAACTGGCCAAAGTAAACAGACCGGGCAGAGCTTCCAGCTTTTTGGCCATGGAGTAATTGAAAGGAGGAACATCCTCTATCAAAATAGTTATTGCCTTTAGGCGAGACACAGATTTCTATGATCAAAAGGTGGTGATCAGGTGCGTGAGTTGGGACATTAAGCCATCCATTACCGAGGAATGGTGTGGCTAGTGAAAAACAGCAGTAAAGATATGCTCAAGGCACATCACAAGGGGTATACATGAAACCTGGGCAGGTGGATACTGGACTTAGAGCAAACAGGTTGAGAGTGAATTTGCCTAAAGATGTCCAAGCATCACTTCCGATGGGCAGTATGTAGCTGACATGAGCTGCTGTGTTCCACATGTCTCTAGGTTTCAAGTACAGCAGCATGGAGAGGAGATAAGCCCTTGTGTCTTACAGGAAAGGAAATGGGAGAGCAGCAGCACATGCAATACTCCAATCATATCAATAATGTCAGCGCCCATTCCTGCCAGATTAATCCTCTTTGGTCACTGCCAATAAAAGCAAGGAACTTAAGTCCATGGAGCATAGCAATACACTGGAAGGTGCTCCAGAATCAGCACCTGGCCTGCCCAGTCTACCCGCATAGGGGAAGTGAGTCTTGAGGAGACAGGATCAAGCAAAAGCATGCTAGGGCATCCTGCTGAGACAGACCAGATTAAACTTGGAGGCACTAAGCAGTAGGATCCAGTAACCAAACTGCCCTTCCATACATGTCTTCCAGAGGCACGGGTCCGTAGGGCGGTTGCAGTGAAATCAGCACAGGTTTGCAGTGCTATTGCAGTGAAATCTGTAGCTGGGCTCAAAGGCTGCACGGGGAAGACTCTCAGATTGGTGAGGCCTACTCTGAACTAATCAGCAGCTGTTGATTGAAGAAAATATTCACAAAAAGGGTCATAAAAAGAGCTGAGAAAACAGCATAACCCAGTTATTTAAGAATCCAGTGTCCTTCAATGAATAAATAAAAAACATTTTAGTAGAGTAGAAGGAGGCTAGAACCACCTACGCTTTTTTTTTTTTTTTAAGCACAGTTTGGGTTTGTCCATGTTGCAGATTTTCCTTGACTCTGTCTGTTAAATCGTAGTCATCATGACAGCAAGTGAGGGAACAACAGACCCCCAATATAACAGTAAATATCCAACAATGGGTTCTTATCCTCCGCCACTTTTAAAAAAGCTTAAAACATTTTGGCTGGACATGCACTTTAAAATCTGGCAGGTCATTTTCTTGCCCACTCTGAAGAACATAAATAAAAATGGCTGGTCTTATATGAATGTGACAATCCGCACCTGTAAAACAAAAACTGTAAAGTAGTAAGTAGACCCCACAGCTGAAAAAGATATTTATTGCCAAACAAAAAAACAGATTTACAGATAAATTAAGCTAGGTTGTTTGCAAACAATTCAATCTTGTCTGTTCCAAGTGAAGAGCCCTGAAAAAGGATTAAGTGCCATTCTACACCACCAGAGAGGGACGGAGGGCACAAATACCAATCAATATGGCTCTGCCGTCTCTGAGCTAAGGGAACGGTATGAAGGGTTATCAGCAGGTTATGTACAGCAGAGACACAATATTGACAGGAAATGCCACAAAACCCACACAGCTTTATACAGCGCATAACAAAACTAGCTGTACAAAAGAACCGGCGCCGCCTATTGTAAAATATCAAAACAATAATTAAATAAATTATAAATGCAACATATATTAAACGCCTCATACTGCAATTTTAAGGGAAAGACAAGTACCCCAATACCACAAGGTCAGACAATATGGACATCCATAAATAAGCAAGTAAACCTACAGGTCAGGGGTTAGAACTGTATGTTCAATGGATGGTAGAAAGATGGAGGGGGAAGAAAACAGGGAAAACACCTTGTGTAAGGTAAAGACCATCCAATTGTTAAAATTCAGTCTTGGGTAGAAGCCATCGTGACAGTACCAGCACATAGTAGTTGCGCTCTTGTGTCTTTATGGACTTCAGCATGAGGCTGAATGTAATAGAAGGAATTCCCACTCCTGCATGCTACATCTGTTATAGAGAACTCAGTGTGGAGCTTATCAAACAATATCAGAAAAACGGCAGTAGTGGTAGAAGCAACCTATCTCAGGGCTCCCATCTCTGGAGGTCCATAGGAAAGTATGCCATGGTGTACTTTATCCCATCATTTTCTATATAACACTGAATTTCCAGCATTAGCTGGGGTTTGCCTTTAAACCTGGTTAATCGGACATACAGACATAGGTAAAAGTCACTGGATGTCAATGATGCTTTATACAAGTGCTTTTAATCTACTGAACCCACCAAGAGGATAAAGAAGGAAATTTAATGCTGAAAAGGCATTTTTTTTGGGGG